ATAACCCTATAAAGTAGATACCACAGTGCCTATTTTCTCTAATTTAGTTGGTCTGGAGTTCCAAACATACCCTTAGAAATACTAAATATAGTACCAATTTGCCTGAAGATTTAATGAGTTTCCCTTTACTTTTGCTACACAAATTTTTAAAGATTCAAGAAAAGGTAATTTCAATAACTTACAAGAAAATTTTTGTAAAATTTCGCAAATGATAGAGATTGAGTTTCAGGTGTTTACAAAATCATATGAAGAAAATAATTTGTGGTAAGATATATGAAATTATGTTACCATGAAGGATGCACTACTGCTTTATTTTAAACTACACAAAACAGTAATTAGGCTATTGGGTGAAAAGGCAAGAATGTACTCAGAAAATGGTTTCCCCCTATTTCAGTAGATCTATGAAGCCAGTAGCTTCAGTGACCTTGGGATGAAAGTACTTCACAACATTTTCTGATTTGAGGATGAGGGCAGGATGGATTTAAAGGAGCAGACCATTTTTGCACATTGCCAACTTAAAGAGTTTGTGGGTATATACTTTTTGCCTAATATGGGCACAAGAAGGTTCCAAATAACTGAAACAGTGCAAAAACATAAATGAAACTATGGAAGTTTCGTGACTTTTTCTTTCTTTCTTTCTTTCTTTCTTTCTTTCTTTCTTTCTTAGAGTCCACTTGTGGATGAAAATATTTATGGAGCCCCGAATTCTGGTTCATCTTTTGCAGATTTTAATTTCCCTGATATACAGCACAATTCTACAGTGCCTACTCAAAACTATGTCCCATTGAGTTTAATGGGGTTTACTCCATAGAAACTAGATATAGGTGTGCAGACCACTTCCACAATTCTGTATGAACTAACGTGGGAGTAAGTCTCATGAACTCTTCTCTACTTCAGAGAAAATAGTATTAATTTATTATTTCATCCCATTTGTTAATTGCTTCCAATGAAACATCTTGAAGTGATTTAACAAGGAATACATATATAAAACTACTTTATGCACACAAATCAATTAAAATATTTTTATTGCTACATCTTTTTAAAGACGTGTATATGACTGAACTGCATTGATGTAATATCCCCAGGGCCCAGTTTCTTAACAATCCTTACTAGCTGCTATAACAAAGAGGTAGGCACCTTAAAGACTTAAAGTTTAACATCAGCACAGAGAATTTGTAGTTTTGATGAATTATGAAATGCTTTGTCAATCCCTTAAGAGTTTACTGAGAAAATGTCTCAACTCAGCAAGAAATATTTAGGTGCACTGAAGGGGAAAATAATCATTTCATTAAAGAATTTAACAGCATAATCCTATGCATGCCTTCTCAGAAGTAAGCCCCTTTGAGTTCAGTGAAGCTCTTCCCGAGTTAACAGCAGAGGATTGCAGCCCAAGCCTGTATTCTGAGAGTATGTCCCAAAGAACTCTATGAGCCTTAGAAGTAAATATGCACACGATTAAGCTGTAAGCTCCTTGTATACCAAATATTTCATACTATATGTGAAAATGACATTGTTTTAAAAAATAGTGCTGGTGATCTATTAATGCCAACCTATCACACTAAACTAGTGTCAGTTAGATAAATTGTTTCTATATAATGGTGAGAGAAGACAATTCCCACCACAGTTTCTGTGAGCATTTTATTCCCCTGGTAGTCAGCGGATAGCCATCTGCCAGCCACCTAAACAAATGTGTTAGAAAGATGTTTGGCACCATTTCATGAACTTAAAACTACTGTTACATGCCCAGGCTGCAGTAAACAGCTCCACAGTCCACACTGCTGTGATCCAACTGCTACCATAAAAACTGTATTTATAAAAATACTAATTCTGTAGAAATGTAACTTGTAAACACAGAGAGAGCATCTCTTGTTTCCCTGAGAGGTCCAAATGGAGGATGCCACTAAAAACACATTTATGTAGGTATTCTGCAGACTGCACCTGAAAGCAGTTATAGAACCATAAACAATAGCAGAGAGTAAGGCCTGGGAACCAGGAGTGCATGTCAAGTTCTAATGCTAATCTGCAAGGACTCTCATAGTTGCTTCTCTGAAAGCCAGTTGCTGCCGTACATGATCTGAAGTGTGCATCACAAGAAAGAAATGCAAAATAGAGCGGAGCACACTTACAGCATCCATGCACATCATGGGCGGACACTCATAAATTTGAAAAACCAATTCCATGCTAATGGAGCACACAGCGATTAATTTAAACTTTCAAGTGTTATGACGGGTTTCAGCACTGAATGACTTAAAAGCAAATTGTGCTGTGCAGCAGAGGCAGCCAACAGGATGTCCTCCAAATGTTGTTGGACTCCAGTTCCCATTGGGCACAACCAGCATGGTCCATGGGATAATGTGAGAAACATCTGAAGGTTTCTCATTCCTTACCTAGCTTGAATGGAAATCACTCTTATTAGTTACGGATTTTTCTCTATTTTGTTACCCAGTACAGTAACTAGAAATGTCAGAGACTGGACCTGGGACCTTTTACATGCAAAGCATGTATTCTGTGATTCATCCTCCCAATCTAATAAACTGTTTTCATATTTTAATAGGAAATTACATGTAGCTGAACGTGCTCTAGCCAAACCCTTTACATTTGCAAAATCTGTTTAATCTGAAATACTGCTGACTTCCAAGGCCAAATAATCTCTTCCTGGCAAACTGAGTCTTCCTTTAGATCTATTTTTGTTTGCACTTCTTCTTGCAAATTGCCATGATTTGCATAGATAGCCAATGCACAAAAGGCCACACAGACTATATGCCTGCTCTAAAAGGGCTGTCTTTGAGCCTTCAGGCAAACACCTTCAACAATAAATGTATTCTGTTACCATTTTTTGTTGCATGTAGGCAAGGTCACATTTTTCTAAGCCTTTATTTCATGTAGTAACAGCCACTGATGGAATGAATTCTAGGCATGCATAAAATATATTGCTTTCAACAAAATCATAAAATTAGTATACAGATCAATCCAGCAGGATTTGGTGGCTGAAGTGCTTTGACTTAGGAAGCTTACATCTGAACCATTTATAATCTGTGAATTTTCTAGGTGGCCAAGAAAGGAGTGATTGAGGTGTTACAGTTTTTCCAAGTTATATACGGGATAAACTCAAGCAGCTACTTGAATCAAGACACGCTTACAGTGACTCAGATTTGCCAGACCCTACTTTACAGTAGCCCAATGTTACAATGAGGCAAGGGATGTTTTTGAAAAAGTGTGCCATTTCACCGATGTCACTCGACTTTATACAATTAAATATCAATACAGATTAGGAAGCAGAAGAAAACAAGCAGATTCCTGTGATTTCCATTTAGGTAACTGTCCTTGGGAAGTACAGCACAACTGACATGCACAATAGTGGCTAATGGAAGAGCCTTGCTGCAAAAGCTTTCTAGGACACTTGAATCAAAATATCCTAAAAATAACCTTAGACTAGAACAGAGAGAGATGCAGAACCATTTTTGGGAACGATGGAATTGTCAACACTGTAGTGCTACAGGATTAAAATTCCTTTAGGATCTTCCCCACCCTCATCCTGGTTTTATATTCCTTTAGTGCCAATTAAGACATTACATTTTGCAGTTGCCATCAGAGCCTTGCAGCCAGTATTGTAATTCAACCCAAATTACAACCAAGGATAGTCATATAAAACACAGTGACAATGCACATGTAAAACAAAATTTTAAAAAGCTGAATCCTGGTTGTCTTGCCTGATCTTCACTATTTCCAGATGATCTATGCTAGCAACAAAAAACATACATGGCTAATAGACACCACAATTACAACCACTACACTTAAAACATTCAAACTGTCATATTAAATTGTAAGGAGTTCTCTAGAATGGCAAGTCCAGTTCAATACAATTTCAGTGTTGGACTGGTTGGCTGGCTCTAACCAAGCTAGGTGTAGGTGAGGAACTGATTCATTGAAATAGTGAAGTGCAAAAGGAGATGAGGAAATGAGACTCATCATGTTACGCATTTACTGGTGTAGGCCACAGAAACTGACATGCCCTAAATCAGTGCTTCCCAAACTTTCTGTCCCACAGACCACTGAGTCGTGGCAGATCACTTAATGAGTTCATGCCTGTTGCAGCAATTCTAATATGATGCGATAGGTGCTGGTTTAAATTGTATTTTTATTGCTTCTTTTGTATTTCATATATTCCACCTGAATGAAGCTTGTGGTCTACAGACTATAGTTTGTGACACTCTGCCATAAACCATTCTAGATCTTTTGAGCCAGATGGCTCAGAATTTATTTTTTTCTTGATGCAAGACAGAAGCAATGTGCTCCTGTGAATAAATTATTTCACTTCGGATTCCTGCATTCCTGATAAGTCCCAAACTCACTGTGAGACCTCGCTGTATTTCACTCCCAGTATAGCATATCTAAAATAACTACTGAGTGGCCTTCACAGAATTTCTTTGAAGGTAAGTTACAAAAGCACTCTATTAATCTACCTCCGCTCTATGCATGGCTGATTAGAAGTACCGGTAAGTCCCACAGAGTCCAATGGGACTTACTTGCAAGAAATTGTGCAAGAACTGCAGCCTAAAACTTCTCCGTGTGTGCTATTAGTAATCTTCCTTTGTGCAATTTTCAAAGGACTCTGGGATGCCACTCTAAGTCTTTTGCACAAGGATGTAGGAATCAGTAGAGACTCTGCCAACCCCAGCAGTACTGACATGCAGGTGAATATAGCCATCCATACACAATAATAAAAGCCTAAGCAAGCCAATATAGATATATGAAGAAAGAAAAACTGGCATCCTGGATTTACCAAACACAAACGGTATACCTTCAAGTGAAATGCACACACCTGTTGCAAATGCAGACCCCGCATCAAGACACCAGGCGTGGACATGGCATGTAAATAAACGCACCAAGGAATAGCAGGAGCAGCATCCCCCACCCCAAAGGCAAAAGAAGATCCAAACTGAGCAGTTTTGTCCCTTATTTCTCCCCCTCCCGCCTCGGAGCCCTCTTCGCTCCCTTACCAGCTAGCCCTCCGCTGCCTCCATCTCCTCCGTGCCCCTTTCTTCTCTGCAGGATGAAGTAAGGGTTGGCCCTCTCCGTGATCCACAGGGCGTTTGCCAACAGCACCTCCTCCGGGTTCACCCACATGCTCCCGGCCAAAGACAAAGGCAGCCTGGACGGGATTCGCTTCAGACGTCTTATTTCGCTTTTAAATCATGCGGAGCCCCGGTTGGCTTCAAGCGCCCTGCCCAGCCCAGCCCAGGTAGGAGCCCGCAGCGCCCCGGCCAGAGGAAGGTACATCGGGGTTAGAAAGGGCAAGGAAAAGCAGCACCATCCCCACCGCGGCTCTCCAGCCCCGGATCAGCCCCTTCTCCAAGCCGAGAACAGTGGCAGCAGCTAGGCGAGAAGACTCGCTCGGTGGCGGACGCGGGGATGAGCCGAGCGGGTGACCTCAGAGAGCATCAGCTGCGACGGCTGGGCCCGCCCAGCAGCCTCACCGCCTCCTTACTGCATTCAAGCTCCGGGAAGGAGCCGCTTGCGGAACGGCGCCCCCACTCGGAAAAACGCGAGTTTAGCAGCTGCTCTCCTTCCGGCACAAGAGCTCGGGAGGTCCGCTCCGCTGCATAGACGAAAAATGCAAAAAATAAAAATGAATGCAAAAAACCCAAGCCAAAAACCACCCTCGCAATGTCTGATGCTAACGAGTAAAGGCCAAGCCTATCTATCATTAGGGAGCGAGATCCACCGTTCGGCATCTGTGATATGACTACGGGGAAATCACAACAGGTAACACTGGCGAGAACGCGCCTGCGCGCGTACACACACACCTCCGGATTGGTACTGCCGAGAGCCGCCCAGCGCACCACGGATCTTTGAAGATCACCTCCCTAGCTACCCCACCCCCGCTAGGTTTAAAGCACGCGCACAGCCAACAAGATCTCAGCGAGCGCGCACATGGGTCTAAAAAGCCTGCCAGGGAGTAACACCGATCTATCCGAGATCACTGCAAAATCGTCCGCATCACGGTCTGACAAGTGGTCGCTTATGGCAGCTAAGGAGATGGGCACCCCTCAGTGCGATCACCTGCCAGTAACTGCCACCGCTCGGAGCAGGATGCACAGAGCGAATAAATCTAACCACCCTGCCATCGCTCGGTTGCTACAGATGGCTTGCTCGTACTGTCCATTTCTGCTCAATGAAAAGGGGAACGGGAGGGGGGCCTGGAACGTCACCAGCTCCCGTTCCGCCGAACGCTTTCTATGCGCAAGCGCGCGACCTTACGACTAGCGCGCCGCCAGGTTCCGAAAAAGGCGTGGCCAGCGCCAGCAGCACAACCTGCGCAGCAGCGTTTGGTTTCCTCCTTCCTGCACTTCCAGGCGCCAGTCCCGCGTCACGTCTGCCCTTGCTCCTGTCCTGTGCGGGTCTCGGTAGAGGCTCCACCGTTCCTGCCCCACCCGGGTTAGAACCGGCGCAGGAATCGCCTGCAGAGCTCTGGCAGCGAGCTGATTTTCAGGGAGGGTGTGAGAGAGTCATTCCTATCTCACCTGATCTCCCAAGTCAGAATTCTTAAGCAAAAAAGACTTCAAAGAGGCGAGGCTCCAGCAAATGTTGCCGAACTATATAGGACATGGGAGTAGCCAGGATTTATGTGTGTGTGTTGGGGGGGGGGGGCTGGCTTCGGGCGGCAGAACCTCAGTTAGTTAAGGATTTTTATTGATTTTCTTGTAAATAGGAGCAGCAAATTCCAATCATTTCTGTTTGAATTTAATTGAAAGAGTCAATTTTTTCCCAATGAAGGGATTACATTAGCATAGCTAGAAAGATAAATTTATCAGCTGTGATTACTACTGTTGTGTTAGCCATCATTTTATCTCCCAGAAAAGGCGCAAACACCCACCCCCACCCCACAACTTGGCGCAAACCTACACACACAATTACCTCCATTCCTTCATGTAATTTTATGGACTTTTTGCCTCACTACACTTTTTCCTCCTCTATATCTGTCAATTTAGAACACCACATATATTTGACAAAATAGTCTCGGGTCTTCAAAAGCTTATTCCATAATAGATGTCATAAGATTTGCTTTTCAAGATCCAATGCCCCTTTTAGTAGAGTATGGCAATCTAATTATGGCAGGGGTGGCCAGCCTTCAGTTTAGGGGCTAGAGTGACTGCCCACAAGACAATTTTGAAAATATGTCCTTCCCCATTTTGACATCATCAACAACAAAATATGCAAATGACCTGCCCAGATTGGTGTTTGATGAGTGGAATGGAGGCAGCCCAGCTCATCTACACAGATCAGCTGAAGGGTGGGGGCTTGCCAACTGTTTGAAGTAGTCCTTAGCAGCAGTTTGATCTGCAGTAATTACCAGGTGGTAATATTATACTTCACTGCTTCCCCTGCCAATTCCTGCCTATCAACCTATTACAACCGTGGTAGCCGTGTGGGAAAGCTAAAGAAACAGCTCAACACAGCCATACAGTTACCCTAGGACTCCAGCAGCAACAAAAGTGTCCACTCTACTTGTCATCCACAACTCTCCTCATCTTTCCAGGTCCATCATCAGGAACTTAACAGCTCATTCTGGAAGATGCAGGTCTCTTATTTCTACCTGGAAGTTTCCCCACAATGGATGAGTGAAGGGTGTGGTCTGAGGGGAAGTGTGGGTTGGGCCACCTGGCTTGGAGAGAGTCTGGAGTGCTAGACAGGGAGGCCTGCAATAAGCCCCCAGGGCAGAGGTTATCCATACTGGCTATCCTTAGTAATGTATCTGGAAATAGGCCCCACTGAGGGTTTGTTGTGCAATACTCCCAATCAGCTATAATTGCGCAACCTGAATTCACCAGCATGTGACTGGTTCCCACCTAAAAATAGGGCAAGTCTGGAAGTGCCTATAGTGTGCCTAGTAATGGTGGAACTTCGTTGTGTGAGTGTTTAAGGATAATCAGCTTCTTTATGGCTCCGATTTGCTCCTGTGCCTAATCTGCAGGTAGTAGGAGGGAATTATGTGTTTCTTCTCTGCCAGGAAAAGTTTCCCTGCTGGTTTCTTCTTACCAAGATGCCGTGAAAAGATTAAGAGCAGGCCACATTTTTCTGGTCCATTGGCAACCCAGGACACAAGCCCCCTCTGGGATATTTGTATAATGATTCTGTTGTTAGCAACTGCACTTTCCCTCGCTTCCTACCCTCTGCCAACCTCCCATGGTGTTATGAGCTATGATTTTCCTTCAGTAGGAGAATAGGGGAGGGGGGAAAGGCCAGTCATGTTTAAGCTGCTTTGGTAGGCCAAAGGATTGTCCTGCAATATAGGAAGTCCCCTGAGTGGGCCTTTGGTTCAACAATATGCTGAGCCTTTGAGATAAGGAAAATATCAATTCTAATTGGCAGGGTATGTCTTGACACCTGCAAATTTATATGCTATGCTTGGTTGTTGTTTTTTTTAATCCCTGTTGCTTGGATTCCTCTGTGGAAACCTTATGATTTTCCTTTCCCCCCTCTACTATACTGAATTCTCTTTTCTTTTTTCCCTGTATTTTACCATTTTCTATAATTAGATCGTCCCTGTTTGGGTTTTCTTAAAAATATTTCTGATAAAAAACAGTGTACTAAAGGCCCTGTTGAGGGCCTTTGTTAAGGGCCCTGAGAGTTATTAGGAGAGGCCTGACAGCTGCAATTCCCAGCATGGTATAATAGTCAATCCTTTTGCACAGGGAACCCTGGGAGCTGAAGCTTTGGGAGGAGAATGGGGATAGTCTAAGAACTCTCACCACCCTTAGTAAATTACAGTTCCCAGAATTTTCTCCTTTTGGGGATAAAAGTGCTATCACAGTACTTTAAATGTGTGGTATGAGTGTGATCAAAGCAATTGGGAACAATGCTACCCATTATTCCATTCCTGCTACCCATTATTCCATTCCTTGATTTTCCTTCTTTAAGAAAAATTACAGTGCGACACACAGCACAGCATCACAACAGACACATCCCACCTACTCCAGAAGTTGAAGCTGCAACTACACAGGCAGATAGACGGGACCTCTAGTAATAACCCTAAGGCCGTTTAAAAAGCTGTTGACATCTGTTTTCCCAGCACGAAGAAGCTGACAAACATTGGGATTAATAGTGTTTGGGATTAATAGTGTTTGCTGATGTCTCTCTGCTAGGTATAAGAAAACCACAACTAGCACAAGACCCTTCTTGAGAGAGAAGTACTTTGATACTCAGCTAAGGCTGCTTCCCTTAAAAGTTCAACCCTGGAATGAAGAAGGCTATGAAGTAGTTCCAAAGTAGTTAACTTATAAAAAGATACAAAACCAAGGGAGTTTTCACATCCTCAAAGAAATGAGGAAGGATGTTGGAGGCAGCAAACCAACAGCTTTTGCTTCTTCATCAAGTTGACTGTTGACCAGAATGGAAAGGCAAATAACATAGCAAAACCAGACTGTTAACTTTGTAGACATAGTTATCAGTGGTATTTACAACATGAGGATTTCTGTTTGTGGAGAAATATCACATCTAAGGAAACATCAAACTGCATATCTGTGAGTTATCAAGTAGTGAGTATGTTAGCATGGTCTCTCTGAACTCTAGTTGTTGATCAGGTCTGTTTCCAAATTTATCCTTTTAAAACATACTACTGATTGCATCAAACTCTCTTGACTACATCTGCAAAATCTTTTGGACTTGTTTTCTTTGGATCTGCAGTGGCTAATCTCTCAGATAGTGCAAAGACACATGTTTAAACCAGAAACCGACCTGCCATTTGAATGTTAACAATGCACAACTGCATCTGTGTTTTCAAGTCAACATATCTACCCTCGTGGTATTTGGTGCTACCTGCAGAAGCCAATCTATAAGTGAGACATAGAGCATGAGTCTGTACATGGGCGTAGCCAGGACTTTTGTTAGGGAGGGCAAGCCTTTTGTTAGGGGGGAAAGAACCTCAGTTTGCTATATATTTTTATTGATTTTTATTGATGGGAAGGCAGCTGTCCCTCCCTGCCAGGGCTGTCTTACCTATAGGTACTAGGGGTGCGGGGCATCCAGGCACGGGGTCTCAGGGGCATCAGACCGAGAGTCTGGGGCCCGAGAGTCCGGGGAAGAGCCCACCCATTGGTCAAAGCGCTGTGGTGAGCTCTTCTGCTATGGGCGGCTCTGCGCCGTGAGTTGGGGAGTGACTGAGCCAGCGAGACGCTGAGGTGGCCAGCTGGCTCCACCCTCCTGTGCGCCTGGGACTGGGCAAGGGGGGGGGCGGCAGATCTTTGCACCCAGGCGCCACATATGCTTAAGACAGCCCTGGTCCCTGCCCCGCTGGCTATGCCCATGAGGCTTTATGTGTTTAGTGTGAAAGTAAATCCTATAGCATTTAATAGAATTTACCGACAAGTAGTTATGTGAGGGACTCCAGCCTTCCAGCCTGGCCATGTGCAAAAGTTTCACCCAGTTCATTGGGGTTTGCTGCAGTGTTCTGTGCATAGAGTAGAAGCATTAGACATTCTCTCTTCCCTACTTAATACATTTTAGTTCATTGTGGCATTATCCCATAAATATATTCCTCTGTGATGAAAGAAGATTGTATTCCTGAAGCATCACAAAAAGGGGGGGGGGAATGATTTTGATCTAGCCCTCAAAGTTTTTCAAGATGCAGATAAAGAACTGATGGTTAAACCTGCAGCTGTTTGGCATTCATATTCAAAAAGGGGCCCACAATCAATGGCAAATGCAGTCAA